CTAGACAAAATATTTTCTGCACTTTCCTCCTAAGCAGCATCCATAGCAAACCATACAGTGACTGAGTGATGACATTGGACATATGCCACCATTGTGTACTTGCATCCCAACACCTGAGGCAAGTATGCAAGTCACTGCACTGCATGCCTTGTCGTTTGCCCCCCTTGTCCAGAAGGGTGGATGCCCTTGTCCAGAAAGCACAGCACTACTCACCCGTAATAGTCCAAAAATCCCTTCCTGACATTCGTGTCCAGAAGAAGAGCTTTCAGCCATTCATAATCTCTTGTCCCTTCCAGGAAGTGAAGATACTTGACCTCCTAGGAAACATGCCACAGTTACACTAGGAGGAGGCACAGGAGACTGAGTGCCACAACATGAAAGATAGGGCTGGGCATTCTCTGCTGGTCAGCCACCAAGTTCTTGAGTGGAAGAGGGAAAGATCAGATTTGGGTTGTGGAACTTGGAGGAAAGTTTAAAGTTTTCTAATCGAAGTTGCTCTCACAACTACTGCTTACACAAGGAGGAGGGGAAATATCAGGTTATCTGCCTTACTTTTCCTGCAGGGATCTTCTTGAATCCACGATTTCCCAGAATCATAACTGAAGCCACTAAGGAGTAGGCTGTGAATCCATAGAAGGAAGTTCTTGTTCCCACATCATTCTCATAACCCTTGATCACGGCTCCGCTCACTCTGGTCAAAGAGGCCATATAAAATTACAAAGTTAGCCAAGTGGAGCTCCCTGACTGGATTCATCAAGCACTACTGGAGTGGGTGACATGACTCAGGTTTTGACATCATCAAGTTTTTAGAGGAAAGACATTCTAAAAGGCATGTAGGATATTTCTATTTTCTGCAAGCCAGATCATTTAAATCCCTTTCAGAATCACTGTCTTACTAGAGGTGCACAGGTCTACATTACAATGGACATTGGGTAGAATACTTCAGATACATATACATAATTTGCAAGATTCTGGGGAACGTAAGTAAATTAGTGGAATCCTAATTTTTGAAAACCAGAATTCCAAATTGGCTTTGAAGGAGGAAAAATGTTTTTCTATCATTTTAGGAAAGATTAAGAGCCAACATCCAAAACATACAATTCTCTGGCAGATTCCAGGGGAATATTAAAATACATTCCACACACTCACACACCCATCAGTTGATGAGTGGGGGTTGCTTTCATAACTCCAGCTGGTCCTAGGGAATGTCTTAGTTTTAAGCTTTCAGTCAAAGCACTACTGTGGGCTCCTTTGCTCCTCCAACCACTGGCAACAGTTTCTTCCTACTGTGTAATTTCCCCAGCGCTGAGTGCTGTCTTCCAAAAGAGTCAGTCTGTGGTGCCTCCAGCTGGCCAATGGGAGAGTACAAAAAATCAGCTAGACAGCTGTTCTTTGATGTGAAGAAGAAAAAAGCAAAGCCAACCAGCCACTGTGGAGAAGTTGCCTGGGAAGAAGATGGGGAAGGAGCCAAGGTGCCACAGCATCTTGGTGTGCAGGGGGAAATCATAGGGGCCAGGAAGCAGAACAAGATGAGAGTTCCCACCAGTGGGAATCCATCTGCCTTGCTGCTCTAGAGGAGAACCCGCAAAACTGCCTTTATGGTGTTTCCTCTGGAGGAGGAACTGAGCTGATAGTTAATCAGCTCAGCTTCCGAAGGCCCTTGCATACAGCCTGTAGGTATGAAAGAAACTTCAGCCTGTCAAATATGACAATCACAGTAATAATCACTTTATATTTTTCAAGAGAGCCTTTAGAAAATTTATTATTGGCAGTATTAGATTAGTCCTGACCGAGTAGAAACTAAAGCTGGCAACTTTGGGCTCCTGTTTGTGTAAAACTGAGGAATTATCTGGACATCCTGCTTGCCATGGCATCAAAACATCCCACCGTTTGTGGGAGATGTGAACACACAATATTGTCCTCTATCTACTCTGCCCCACTGCAAAGGCAGCCCCAGCCTGTCTCTTCTTCCACTGCTTCAAGGTTGTATTTTCCAGCTTCTTCCAGCAGCAGCTATGCACCTGGACTGTCAGACTGAGGTAAGATTAGGAGCAGGGCTTCTTGGCCACCTGAAGGGGCTACAGACACAGACCTTTCTCTGGTCCCTGGCCACTGATTTTCGGCTCCATTTGCTCTCTGGCACTGGGAGAGTCACAGCTTTCCCACTGTGCCAAAAAGCCATCTCTCCCCGCTCTCTTAGTAAAAAGCCGTCTCTCCCATCTCTTTTAGGGATCAGTAGGTGGCAGGGAAAGCAGAGGGAGGAGAAAGGAAGTGGGTATATTCGGTACCAGTTCTCCTGGTCCCAGAAAGACTTACTTCCCCCCATGGAGTGGCGGCTGAAGCCCCGTTTTCCAGCTTCTGGTCCTCCAAGGGTGGAAGAAAAGAGGTGGAAGAAGTCAGCACCTGCCCACCTTGCTGGGTTCAAATGCCGCCTGTGGTGGCATCTGTGCTGTAGCACAGAATCCAAAGGGGGACAATACAGCTGTCTGCCCCCACTCCACTTTGGTGTAGCAGTGTCTTCAGGAAGGTCATGCAGGCCTAGCCCAAGGAACTCCAGGAGACCATGTAGATTCAGTTCACCAATGTTTATTAGCTACAACCTCTAGCAAGAATCTCAGTTCCCAAAGTCAGCCAGTCAAAACAGAGTGAATTCCTCAGGGAGGTGCCAGCCTCATCCTCTTATCTCTTCCTCGCCCCTCGGGAGACAAAAGAGCGTGTTTCCCTCCCTGAGTTTGGCCTTCATAATTCCATTCCATCACAGGTCACCAGGCGCCTGTATGAAGAGTCCCTGCTGCAGCTTAGGTGGTGCAGTAGCTAAGCTGTGGGGGAGGGGGCAGGTAGCTGTACTGCAGGGATGCCCGCAGAAGAGCTGTGACACTGCAGCTGGCAACCTGACAGGTAAGGCTGCATACAACTTCGCCATGTGGGCCTGAGCAACAGCCTCATGGTGAAGCCGCAACCAGCTTTACCACAGGATTATCAGTCAGAGCTGCTGTATTCCCTGTAGGAAGGACAAGTGGGGAAAAATCACTTTGTTACTGTGATTTTTAAATAATTGTTTCCATGTATAATTTGTTACACTTATGGCCTTTCTATGAAGAGCTCAAGTTGTATTTGATTCTTTGTCTGTCTCCACTGCCATTTGATCATCATATCAAGCTTGTGAGGCACATTAGGCGGGGGGACAGTGACTGGGCCAAGATCATT